TAAAGTCCAATAGTAAACAGACACTAGTTGCAGGGTACTACTATAAAGAGGACTTCCACTAGCGCCTCTATGCCAAGACGGAATATACAGAGTGAACACCTAAACTTGAACGATTTTCGAACGGGAAGTTTAGTCCTAACGTGATTTGCATATATCAAACTTTTGCTGTGTTCTTACGCAACAAAAGTACCATTTCAGTTCTAAAAAATCTATCCTGAGCTATACGTTCGGTAGATTACTTTTTTTTGAGTTTCACTATATTTAATAGTTACCTGTGGTTTTGCCTCAGCTTACTATTCGGTTTTTTTTGTTTTTCACGTATAGACTAGTTTCAGTTTATATCACTCGTTTTGTCCGTTTTTGTCCGTTTTCAGTGTGCATTTTAGTGTTTTTTTTAAAAAGGTCTTAAGCTTTGCCAGCATCTATAACATAGTTTGCTTCAACACCGTCATGAAAAACTCATGCAAACGTCCGGGATGCCGTTTTGCTGTCACAACTGGCATGCAGTGTGACAACTGCAAAGGTTGGTTTCACGAAGCATGCACAAATCTGACAGCAACTGCTTACAACAAACTCAGCAAGTCAGACCAAAAGTGGGTATGTGTCACGTGCAACACGGACGCAGTAGTCTTGCTGAGTAACATCATTGTCCTACTGACAGGTCTTCGAAACAAGCTGTCAGTTAACTTGGAATACGACAGTAAAAAAACCGATATACAAACAAGAGCGCGCAACGGACTCAAAAATAGGGATGTCGATAGGTATGTCATCGATGGAGCATCCATCAACACTAACGACGACGTGTCGAGGCTCAGTACCATCATTACGTCGACGGTACTAGACTCCCTAGGCAAACTCGGGTCTCCCAGCTCAGGGTCGCTGAACACAACAGTGGTTCCCAAAAACCCTGCAGGCGATTCGACCCACGTTAAGAGAGCCCAAAAGAACCAGGCATCACCGCCTAAGCCGAGCAACCCAAGTGTTGCTGCACGGAAAATAACTGGTGATTTAGTCGCACAGTCTACCCCCAAGACTGTTCGTCCGGTCAATAAAGAGCCCAAGATTCATAAACGCACACTGACCTCCAAAAAACAAGTTATTAAACCTGAACCCATCGTGAAACCTGGTAAATTAACAACAGTTCGTGACGATTCTCTCATTATCATGAACCTCGTCGACAATCCTGACCTTCCTCTCAGTCTGCAGGATAAAAACGACAGGATGCTGTGGGGTGAATTGAACAAAAGCTCGAACTTCCTAGAATAGAGCCTTTGACGGTCACCCGGCTCACTCGAGGAAAGGATTCTAAGCATCTAAATCACCCGAGGCTTCTCCGAGTAACACTTAAGAATGCTACCGACGTAGAGGACGTCTTGCTAGCAAGTCACTTACTGAAATCAGATGGTAACGTAAGAATATTGCCCGACATACCGTACTCTGAGCGCAATATCATACGAAACGTCCCTAAAGAATCTCGCGAGAAGTTCTTCCGCGGAAGAAACATAATTGTCCAAGGTATACCGGAAAATGCAGACCCTACTCAATCAAATTCTGACATCAGGGAATGGAAATTCATCAAACAGTCCTTGAGGCTCAAACACATACTGACTCAGCATGTGACGAGACTAGCCAAGAAGGACGGTGATCCTAGACCTCGTCTGATGAAGATAACCTTCCCATCTTCTCACATGGCGGCTGCAGTTCTGGAAGCATTTCGTGCCAACAGACGTCGATTGCCACCTGGAATCCACATGCACCCGGATAGGCCATACGAAGTCAGGACCAAGAACAAAGGCAAGTTGGAGCTGACCATTCCACTTGTGGACTGTCTAAACGATAAAAAAAACGTGTAAAGGACAGGGCCTACCACCTCGGCAAACCTCATATAGGTGGGCTACCTGTCCATTCACATAAGGTTCATACAGAAAAACAGGACGAAGCTCATGCGTTCCAAATTGAAAGCATAAACTGCTTATATATGAACGCCGCGAGTTTACCAAACAAACTGGATGAACTACGTGAACTTAGCGACGCTAATAAGGCCCATCTGATAGGAATATCTGAAACCTGGATATCTTCTCAGTTCTCGGACCAAGAGTTAGCATTGCCTGGGATGACTTTGTTCCGCAACGACAGAAAAATAGGAATTGGGGGCGGAGTAGCCATATACATAAGCTCTTGCTTGGAGGTGCACCAGGTTCACAACCTCGAGTTTAACAATCTTGAGGAATCCATATGGTGCTCTGTAAGGTTGTCTAGTACTTCCAGGTGTCTAGTCGGAGTCATTTACAGGAAGCCAACTGCCGACACCGAGTACGATAGTCGTATGCTGGAAGGACTATCCCGCTCTATCCGTCTCGGTTTCACACACATCCTGATTCTAGGGGACTTTAATCTCCCTAGAGTCAACTTCGCGGAACACACGTACACTGGAGGCGACAACTCAATTGAAGCTCGGTTCTTCAACCTCATCGATAACTTGGGCTTATATGAAAATGTGAGGTCGGCAACTCGTTGGAGAAACAGTCAGACACCATCGCGCTTAGACTGTGTATTCACTAACGAAGAATTCCTAGTCGACAACCTCTCAATCCTGGCTCCTCTGGGAAAGAGCGATCATGCCGTCATAGCCTTCAGTTTTGTCATCAAAACTAAGCTAAGGTATCCCAACAATAATTTGCGTTGGAATTTTAAACGGCTGAATGTGCCAGCTCTACATGACTATCTACAACAGGTGGCTTGGGATGTTCACCCTCAAATCGATGTGGATGGTCATTGGGACTTCTTGCTGCACACGCTCTTATGTGCTACAAACCATTCAGTTCCTCAAACGGTTCCCAAAAGCTTCAAGCCACCTACAGTAATCAAGAACCGTACCCTTCGCCTCCTAAGCCGCAAACGGCACTGTTGGGCGGAATACAAACGAACTAATAACGATGGAGCGTATAGGCAATACAAACATATCAGGAACACATGCACGAAGGCTATAAGAGAAGACAGGCTTCAGTACCAAACAAAGCTTATGGACAAATTCGCCTCTAACCCTAGAAGCCTATTCCGTTATGCAGCCTCTCTTCGTCAAGCCAAAACAGGAGTTTCTCAACTGCTAGGTCTTAACGGCCCGACCAACAACGATGGCGACGCCGCTAACCTTCTGGCGGCCCATTACTCTCAAACATTTCAACCGGCTGACATCAACTTTATTGACGACAGTTTCATCTGCAATTCCACAGGACTTTCTGAAGTGGACCTAAGCGCTGACTTGGTGTTCCGGAAATTGCAGCACTTAAGACTTGACACTTCTCCTGGCCCGGATATGGTTCATCCTGCCATACTGAGGGAGGCAGCCTCAATCCTGGCAACGCCGCTTAGCGTGATGTTTTCACACTCGCTTAGCCGAGGCAAATTACCGGAAAATTGGAAGTTGGCTCACATCACACCAATTTTCAAAGGTGGTCGACGCAATGAACCTTCAAGTTATCGGCCGGTGGCTCTTCTGTCATTACCTTCAAAACTCATGGAGTCCCTGATATGCGACGGTTTAAATGACTATCTACTGTCCTTAAATTTCTTCTCACCCCAACAGCATGGTTTCAGGAAGGGTTACTCTTGTATAACCAACCTGCTGACTGCGGTGGACAGATGGACAAGCATCCTCGATCGCAAGGGAAAGGTTGATGTCATTTACCTTGATTTCTCAAAAGCTTTTGATAAGGTTAACCACTTGTGTCTTATCAACAAGCTCAAACGACTAGGTATCAAACCACCTCTAATCGATTGGCTTACTTCATACCTAAAAAATCGACACTTTAAGGTTAGGGTTAATTTCACTTTATCTCAGGCTATGGAATGTCCTAGTGGGGTCCCCCAGGGCTCAGTACTAGGGCCTCTTCTCTTCTTGATCTACATAAATGATCTTCCTCAACAGGTAACGTCAGACTTATTACTTTTTGCCGACGACGTGAAACTTTGGAGAGAGATACGCAACCAAGACGATATACAGGCACTTCAGGAGGATCTGACTCGACTTCAAAGTTGGGCAGACGATAACGGACTTACCTTTAACACTTCAAAGTGTAAAGTAGTCCATCTGCGACATGTCGCAAACTACAGTTACAACTTAGGAAACTCCTCTCTAGTAGTATCCCAAGTCGAAAAAGATTTAGGAGTCCTGGTGCCCCATGACTTAAAGTCTTACGCTAACTGTGACAAAAATGCCTTCCGAGCAAACCTTGCACTGGTAACGTTGAGGCGCATTTTTGGTCAGTTTGACGGAAGAACTTTCCACACAATCTTCAATAGTTTCATCCGTCCCCATTTAGAGTACGGAAACATAGTACTCCCCCCTCACTCCAAAAGGATAAGGTCACTTTGGAGCGTATCCAACGGCGAGCCACGAAATCAGTTCGAGGACTCAAATCTAAGCCTTACGAAGAACGCCTCCGTTCACTAGACCTTTACCCACTAGAATATAGGCGTCTTAGAGGTGATTTATTAATGGCTTATAGTATTCTTAACACTTCTGGACATCCTCTTAAACACCTACTTAAGCTTAGTTCGAACAATAACCTAAGGGGTAACACCCAGAAACTGGAAACACAACATAGCAAGACGGAATGTAGACACAACTTCTACTCCTTAAGAGTTGTCAAAAGCTGGAATTCGCTGCCGGCCGAGCTAGTCCAAGCGACTTCTCAGGAGTCCTTCAAGAGGCAACTTGACCTATTCTTAAGGACCAAGGACAGCATCGCACTATGATTTACCAATTTCTTTTCCTCTTTTATTGTTAACATACCTAGGTTCCTGCCTGGAGGATTTGGTGATCCCCTGCTACTAGACACGGAAGCCTGTTAAGCGAAAGCTTCTTCTATTCCGTCCACAACCATTTGAACCATTTGAATGTATTCAATATTCAGTTGACAACCGTACTTCGGCGAACTCATAAATTTTTCGCTACGTTGCATTCCTTAGAGTTGAAACTTTCGTCCTGCAGGTTAATGATGTCTGCTTCTGGTGATCGGTTAGTCTAGGTGGAGATTTCATTGACTTGTTGCTTAATAGATTTGATTGGTATCAGTCAGAGGATAATATTTGGATAGATTATTTAAGAAAAAAGATGGCACCAACTGATATTCGGGTAGAAATAAAAGACGGGAGGTGAGAAAGTAAAATAATAAATTAAATTCATAAAGACAGGTTTCTTTGTACCTGACTATTCCCACCGGTGATGAGTTGCTCAAGAAATTTCAGTTGCTCCATGAAGTTGTGCCAGAAGATTCATCATATCGTGTCACCGCCACGAAAATCGAAATCAAGTTAAAGAAAGCAGATAAAGTTTGCTGGAGTCATCTGGAATCTCAAGATTGTATCACTGGTTCAGGAATTCGTAAGTTGAAGTTAGTTAGGGTGCAGTTATAGATTTGTCAAACTATTTTTATGACTTAATTAATGTGTCGTCAGTGGGATTTATTTATTTCACGTACTCGTCTGTTGAGAAATAAACTAATAATAAAAAGCATAGAATACAAGTGAGCAGACCTTACTTGATTAAGCATGACTCCATATTTATAGCCGGACAAATAAGCTAGATATGTGATAAGTAGGGTAAGCGATACACACATACGCTGATATAAAAACGGTCAAGATTAATAGACGGATTATTGAAAAGGTCAGAATGTGACTCTGTAAGCTAGAATAACCTATGTGGGCTTGACATAGTACTAGACACTACAGTGACACTAGTTGGTCGAGTGCGTGTATCAAAGTTGACTATTCATCATATCTACACGTGTTCTTTGATATTATAATGTATTATAGTAGTTCGGAAGGAGTACAGTGTGTCTGCATCTTAAGTTCGTAGTTATCAAGTTTTAGAGTCAATGGGCTAAGTATTTTACTTTTTCAATATCTTAGTTACTTATAATTGTACGTCAGTCTCTTCATTCATGACGCTGTATTGGTTCACTTGCCTACCTTCTTTGTTCAGCGTTAAGAAGTAGCAATCCAAACGTACTTGCTTTTTGATGTGAAGATTCGTAGATACGTTTAACCCTGTTCAAAGAGTTGTGTTAGGATGGTTTTTAGGTGGACGGTAGTTTGCTGCAATGAATCTTGTATTTTTTATTAACTCCCAGGACAAGCATTTGAAATCGATTGCAATCGATTCATCATAAATATATTGTTTGAGATACTGCTTTGCTCATTTCTTAGTCACGCTTACTATCGATTTGCTTCAAATAAACTTTGTAAAACAAATATTTCTGTATTTGCAGCGTCTCTAAAATGTATTTATCAAGATAATCTAAGAAACCTACTTCCAAATTTTAATTTGCGAACCAAGTACATCCAGATAGTAAACTCGAAACCCGTCCTGACAAAAATTTTATTCGATGACTGTGAATCCTTCAAAGTTTCTTTTGTTATGACTTTTGATTTTAATAACGTTTCATCTACTGGTAGTGGGAAAGCTAGCGAGTCTAATTTATGGATAGACCAATTAGATGTAGGATAGCAAGTCATGGATTGTGGTGCGGCATTCTTTTATTCATATAGTTAAATATTTTTTGGTATTATAGCTGACTTAAGTCTGTTATGAAAACTTTCATGTCCAACGTTAAATCCTAAATTTAATTCCTTACTAAATTAAAACTCATTTAACTCTTAAGCAAGTGGGCATTGTTAAGATCGCTTAAGGATCGTTTAAAGGTCTTACATAAATTTTAGTCTCACCGAAAAGCTAGTATCCGTTGGACATTATTTTTAAGATCACTTCGCCGTTCATCTAGTTAACATATTTCACTTGTGCAATAACGTAGGTTAGTGAGAAATCATAAGTAATCCTTTCGTTCTTCAACATTACGATTGTCTGTAAAAGTCGGTGTATTTTTATTTTGGCGCATATAAAGCATAACCTCTATCCATGTTGTTCATTGTCTCTATTTCTTTGCAGAGACGTCATATGATGTCACCAAAATTGTTCACTCCTACCCTTCCTCAAGCAAATCTGCACACGATTGGAATAAGATCGATAAAGAAGCAGCTGAAATAGAGGGAGAAGAAGACCCTCTAAACAAGTTGTTCAGAAATATTTACGAAAATGCCTCAGATGAAACTAGAAGGGCAATGATCAAAAGTTTTGTAGGTTTTCCCTTCTTTTCTCTTACTTCTAGTAAACTAAAGAGTTTTGGCTTGAAGTTTAGATTGTTGTTTCAATTTCGAATGTGCTTTAAGCAAACAGGTATTTGCTTGATTTTATCCCAACAGACTAGATGGTCTATCTTACCTGAATGAAACGGACAAAATATCTATGCCTTTCACGTATAGAACATTGTCGTGAATAGTAGCGGTAATTTGTCATCAGTTGACAAATATATCTTATCCCATGACTTCATTTCTTGACTAGTCCCGCATAGTTGTTTTTAATCGGAGTATCTTGTCTTTCACTGTTTACTAACTTAACCAGAGCCGATTTGTGCTTAGACATAAGTAATATATTCGCTTACCACCTTAATCTATGAATTTACACCGCCTCACTAATTGATTTGCGACCTTTAACGAGTACCCTATGTCCATCCTCATGATTGCCCACTTCATCGACCCGTGAAACGCTAACCATTCCTTGAAGAAACCTATGGTCAAACACCTGGGGCTTATGCTTGTCTTCTACCTTCAGATAGCATGTTTCACAGCCATACAGTAGAACAGGACAGGCTGCTGCGCAATACAAACGCGCTTTGTCTGTGAACGGACATTTAGCACACGCCAAAAGTGACGCAAGTTGATTGGGGCTAACCGAGCTTTCTTAGATCCTTTCCGAGACCAACCCACCAGGACTCCTAAGATCAGTGAAGCGATCAATATACTTAACTACTTTACTCCTTATAATCAGTCCAGACGTTGACATAAACTATTTTCGAGGCAGCATTTTGCATTTATGGGGAAAGAAACGCATCCCAGACATCTCTAGATTGCTGTTCGAGGTAACCAAGAAACTGCGTTTCGTCAGCGTTATCATCAAACAGAACTATATCATTTAGGTATCTTAATTCGATAAGTGAACGTCCTGGTGCGAGACTAACCTCTGGAAAGTTGAGAAGTGTTGTTTGTAAGAGAGCATCTTTGAGCACATTAAATAAGAGGGGGTAGTGGGCAATTCTGATGAAAACCATCTGATACGCTCGTGCACTAAGCTAATGTACTCTCAACTTCGACTTCAATACCACAAACAAAACTACTATCCTTTCCTTCCCCCTGCCTACTGACCATAGAGAAGTCCAGTTTCGTAATGGGAGTGTTGGTGATGATTCCAGTGGGATTGAAGATACATTTAAAGTTATTCAGTTATGTATCAGTTACAATGATTAGGACTGCGAACTGAGTGGTTTTCAATAAACTGAATTATATCAGTTGATAGAGCAATGTAACGGAAATTTGTTGGAAGTTGACCTTACAATCAGATTACATCGACTTTAGTTTTCTTGTATTTGAAGGTTGAACATCCCCAATACTACTTGAGGCTTAAAGTTCGCCACAAGTGCTGACTCAACCAATAGGGTTCGAGTAGAAAACATTAACAAGGTTTGGATAGATATTCGATATGTCTTTCAATGAAACATTTTGCCCTTAAACCTAGGCCGAAAGAATTAAATGCTACTTGTAGGTTAAGAAATATGGGTATAATCGGGCGTCGATAACTATGTTTATGTTCACGTGCAAGTATGAAACCAGGAGTGTAGTTTTACAAGAGCTTTTTTGCGACTCCCATGGCTGGTAATGACCATTAACTGATAAGAAATTTATGAGAAATGCCTTGATATTGCATGTGTTCCCTTACCATAACACTTCTGCACCGGTCATAGTCAAAGTCTCACAACATTATTGGTCCATTTACTTTTCTTGTCTGAATCTTGATCACCTGTTTCAAAACTATTTACCAGTGTGGAGGAATACGTCTGTTAATAAAACCTGGTGTAATCCTTGTTTTCCTGTACTATTCTCAATCACTCATCACTGTTCCGTAATTAAAGATATTAAGGTTTGGAGATCTGATATTCAAATCAATTTCTTAAGATTATGAAGTGGGAATTACGTTTTCATAAGTTGAGACAATTATCGAATAAATTTAAATAGAACTGTCCGTTATACATCTATTTCAACAGAAGCCTAATTGTTATGATGATATGATTGTTGAGCCTGCTGATTCCCACAAGCCTATGAACTACTTTGGATAGAAGGTTACTAAAATTTTCAAAAAAGAAAAACAGTAAACCCTGGTTCTAAGACAAAGGTGTTTTGTTGAATTTATGTAAGGATATCATACGTTTTTGAGGACGTTGATTGGTCTTTCCGACACTCAGATGTCAGAGTAAGTTAGTTTTCAAAATTAGTCTACCGTTTCTATACTTGACGGATTTCGCATGCCATATGTAAGACACGACATCAATCTACGAAGATACTTTTGGATTGAGTTATTTAGGTAAGTGTAGACTACCTGGTTAGGGTCTGGTTGATTATCGTTAAGAATAGTTGGAGAGTTTTTAATATAGGTCAAAATCGTTTGGAATTTCTCAGATGCATTTACTGTTTATCTTTCTGTAGATCCCGATTTTCTAAATTCTTCAACTGACTTAACGTTTTTTTCTTGGGTTGTAAAGTTGATGTATTATCTGTTTTATCATAACGAATACTCTTACAACCCTATTACTCTTGGAATTTTTGTAGTGTTTTCACCTCGATGTTCTAATGGGGTGTGGAAACTTGAACCAATGTACACAAGCACCAAGTTCTACTTGGCATATGTCTGACGAAAGGTTCTCATTCAGGAGCCAACACTATGAAAGTAAATAATTCTGAAGATCTGTGTTAATCCTTAACCAGTTCTCTCTAGGTCTGATCAAAATACGGTATCATTTCCTGAATAGAATGACTGTTTGTCTGAAGTGTTTCGGGAGATGCAGACTGTCTACTTCAAGTCTGAGGTACAAACGAGTGCTTTGTTTCTTTACGCTGTCTTACGCAAAATCGCTTTCAATGACCCAGATCCATCGATTTTGATTTGAACAGAAAAAATATTTCCGTAAGGGACTGAGCGCATTCTATTTGAAGGCTCTTCGTCAGCCGAAAATATACAAACATTTCAGGGAGTGATATACTTAAAAACTAAACTTAAATGTATTTTGGTCAGCGAACGTTACCTGGAGTTCTTCATTTCTAATGTTAGTATTATTTATTATACATCTCAAGTTATCGTTTTTCTCTCCGTTTGGGAGTTTAGACAGATATATGTCCCAGATCCTAAATTATTGTCCATGTGAATAATAGTCGTGGACAGCGGCTTTAAAGGCAAATGAAGGTAGAACTTCAAAAGTTACCTTTTGAGACCTGAGGTTTCCAAATGCTCCCGAAATTGATTATTCAGTCTTTTCTGCAACTTAAGCTATTAGAGTTACTCTTGAAAGTCCTCCGCTTGTCTCCTTTCACTTTTAGTGAATCTACAAATGAAATTCATAAATTCTATTGTCATCACTTACCTTTGCCTATCGTCCCGTCTCCTAAATACCTTCAATCCAGTAGACTGTTAACTATCATCGAAGTCCGTTTTGTTTTGAAGTGGTCCGAGATTTCAACTGTCTTTTAATATTTGAATTCTGGGATCAGTTGGTGATGTAATCTGTTATTCTCTCATGGACTATCACTTCTACTTATACTGTCTATCTTGTAAACTATCAGTCTAAATTTCAGCAGCTTATCCTACTCACTGTCGTCAGAAAAAGTTTCTTTTTCCACTTCCAAAGTTAATATTATCTGGAAGCATATGAATTTGTTACAACTAATCACCGTTATCGTTTTGTTGAAATGGAATTCACAAAGCTCTTTATTGGTGTTTTCCTGTTTAATTTCACTCTTATGTGCAAAATGAAGTGAATGACTACCGTGTATATCAATAAAACCTGTCCTCTATATAGTGAAAACTCCAGTTATATAGCTCGAAAACCAGAAAATACTAATATATATCTTATTTCTTCAGCGTCTTCGCTTAGCCGTTATATCAAATAGGTGATGCGAAGCAGAACGTACGACTAAAAGTAATTATTTTTATGCTCCCGTAAAATTGTGGTAACTGTTTGTCAAACCTTGTATCAAAGATCCAATGCCTTAACTCCCTAAAATCTGATAATATCAGTTATCGAGGTGGAAAAAAGTTTAAGACGAATTAAAGTGGTTTTTTACATGTAAAAATGGGATATCCTTTAGAAGCCTACATAACATCTGTGTACGGCTAATCGCACATAACCACTTTCATTTTTACTTTGAAAATCGTACTTGTATTAACATATTTTCTTAGATACTGCAGTCCAAATTAGTGCAGTATTGTCCGACCCTTGGATTTTCATTTTTTTGAAAGCTTTCATTTATCCCAGTTGTTACCGAAAAAATCCTATGATGTCAAGCAAACTTTTTAACAATCCTAATTCAGTATTTTAGGTATTTTTGGGGATATCCTTTTATTGCTTTTACAGAGTCGTAATGCGTTAATGTTTTTATTCTAGACGGAATCAGCTGGTACAGTCCTCAGCACCAATTGGAGTGAAGTTGGAGCAGGTAAAGTTGAAATACGACCTCCAGATGGGATGGAATATAAGAAGTATGAAATATAATGTTTGTTAACAAAAACTGCTTTATGCTTACGACTTTTTCAACGGAAATAAAGTATTTTCACGTTCATGACATTTTTCCTTGATTAATCATAATAATTCAGTGTAGGTCAATCGCATTGCGAAAACTTATTATATTTGTTCAGTTTTTGTTGCTCTAATTTCAGATATATGCTATAAACAGGATTATTGATAGAATATGAGATATAAAGTTAGTGACATATTTCATCATGCAAGATGGTTCTGTTCATATAACGCACAACAGCTTATCCCGTTGTTACTAAAATCCACTATGTGTAATTCCTATCTATATAAATAAGTGATCAAACCCTCATCATTTATATGGAGGTTATAAAGTCTTTCTGGAGTATAGAATCAATCTCAGCCTGTAACTGCTTTACTCTTGATTTCTATATATATATATATATATATATATATATATATATATATATATATATATATATATATATATATATATATATATATACAGAATAGTACACAGACATTTCCGTTTTCGCTTTCAACTCCATAGAATCACAAGTGAATTCGCTTAGCACTTAAGTAATACTTCAGACTGTAATGAGTTTTTGTTAGAAAAATAACTGACTTGCTAAGCTTTCTCGGCAACTTGATACTTAATTATACGATTTTACAGGTACGAGAATGATCTATAACCCAACTCACCTTTATATTTAAACATTTTATTTAAAGGAGAGGTTTCGTAATCTAGGTAGCTGTGATGGGCATGATTGAAAGTAAATTGCTGTTTATAACTCAAGTTCTAGTGTTCTTTGAAGCGATCTGAATATTACGGCTGTTTATTTGACTCATGGTGATATGCTAAGTAACTTTGCGCGCATCGCTTAGAAAGGCTAACACGTTTATAGCCAATAGCTTAGGTTTTTATGTCGACAGAATACTCGGACGTCTCATCTCTTTAAAGCAAACCAGTCAAATACGCTTTCTGGACCTTCGAAATTGTTTTGTTGAACATTCAGCTAAAAGTATACTGTACATCCCGAAATTTTGGCGAAATTTATTGACAGATTTTTTTGACTGATAATATTACCAAATTAGTTATTTTAAAGAAATAGTCCAAACTTTGTATAATGCAGTATCATTGGATTATACAAATTTTTCACAACTTAACATATCAGTATGATAACTTCAGTTTGTGAACATAACCATTTGGAGAAGACTGATCACTCGTATGGATGTCAAGTCTGCTAAAACCGCCTGGAAATAAAAGTTGAGCATTTATTACTTACGTTTAAGTGAATGTAAATTATTGGATCAATACATAAATGCTACTTAATTGTTTGTTCATAATCAAGTTGTTCACTATACGTACGCCTATTTGGGTTAGACCATGAATGCCGCATCACTATACTTTATTATTCTCATGTGATCCATGAGGAGCCAAGACAAAACGATTTTCGTTCCGAATGTTTATCAGTAGAGCTCAAAATTATTAGTTCAGTTCGAGACTTAATTAAAGACCTTATTTTCAAATATTTTGAAGTTAGTGTAGATAGAAGTACAGGACCATATTTCTTATTACGTGCTTACATTAAATGGCTGCGAGTTATCACTTAAGGGTTCTATGTTTTTGGCCATTTAACCCAGAAAAATACTAGATTAAAAGGGAATCTTACCCCAATACGTAGTACATTATGATGTTTTCCGTACATATTTCAGCACAATGTGACGAAATATAGAATATTAATGATCAAGTGTAGTAGCCGCTAATTTTGTTGTTTGGTGAACTACTCTACTACGTGAACCAACGAAACTGCTGTGTAATTATTTCGGATTGAGTTCTGTAATTTCGTGTTATATGATCAAACTTTATTAAATATCTTGTTTTTCGAGCTGCTTTTTGTATCAGATACATAAATCATTCCCATCAATAGTATTTATTTAGTAGTTCCTGGATTTTCGTTCCAATTCTTACTAAATACTTGAAATTTTTTATTGACTTTATAAACCTGTACTTATAAATGGAAGTTCGTTTCTAAGCTATGAAAACGAGCTCTTGCTTTTGACGAATAATGGAAACATATTCTTTTCCAACCTTAAACGTTATTTTTCCCAACGCACTAGAGATTCTACTTTATGGGTGTTAAACATGGCCATTAGGAATGGGGGATATCCGTAGGTTACTAGTATTCGAGATAGGTATACTCGATGCATGGTGAGGTTGTGCATCTTCATCAACTGAGGTATTTGGGACATGGATTACTTATACCATGCCTCGAGGGGTGACACTGTTTGGTTTAGGAGTACGTTGGAAGAAAGTTACAGACTGATCGAATTAAGACGTGACACCAGTCTAGAGGTTAAGTATGAGTGCGAGATTGAATGTTATGAGTTCGACTCCCGGCTGCGTTGTTGTAGATGCACACTGCCAAGGAGTCCCATGCTAGGAACAAACGGCAGTCTAGTACGTCCAGTTTTTTAATGGCCAACTAAGATCGGTTGATGATTTCAATGATAATCTTATCTCTCTGTGCTGATATGGCATGGGAGCTTGAACCGATCCACATATGTGTCATTTTCTTCTTTGCGAAGTGAAGTGTTTGTAAGCAGTCTTCTCAGAAACGATTCTTGGCTAAATATATTTGCACTGGTGGATGGTTTTTAAACTTCGAAATTATAATCTTGTCAGAAATAATAAGAATCGTAAAGTAAATTCAAACAGACATTAATTTAATGTATCAAACAATTTTCAAACCTCAACATCTGCATTTGTTTTCACCAGAAGTAGATTAGTACGACGGTAAGAGAATATAGCGACAGCTAGAACTTTAGTAAAACAATTAAATTTATGAGTATAAATGACACAGTGGTCGTGAATGTAATGCATAATTACCAAAAGATAGGCATAATTTCACGTGAAAAATTTACCCACTGAACACAATGACTTCATTTCCATACCAATTACTCTCTGTTCTCGTTCTTTCCTCTTCGATCTTCCCAACCTTCCGCTGCCAGATATTCTATTCCTGGTTTGCGTTATATACTACTTATGTCGACATAAGTAGCACATACCACAGAAACAGTAGGTTTTCATTGGAATCATGGACCGATTTAAGTTGGACAACCATTAAACACTTGGAAACATTGAGCAGCCATTCCGTTCTAACACAGGACTCCTCAGACATACGCATCTACGATTCCGCACGTATGACTTAGACCCATGGACTTCGATCTCGAGTGAACATTTAGCCTCTAGACCACTGAGCCGTTAACCAACGATTTTAATGTCTAACTTCAGCCATCCCACGATATTGCGCATCCATCTCCCATTGTGTTCAGTGAGTAGATTTTTCACATGAAATTATGTCTATCATTCGGTAATTATGCATTACATTCACGATCTTACGGTAAGAAAATATAGCGACAGTTATAACTGTAGTTAAACAATTAAATTTATGAATATGAATGACGCAGTGATCGCGCGCGAGCGCTTAACCTCTAGACCACTGAGCTACCATGTTTTCACTGGTGTTTGAACAGTGATCGGTCGATAATCTCAATTAAAACAACTATCCAGAACCCTATACTAATACTTGAATCAAATTTGTCACACTACCAGTTGTGTCTGATATATTAGGTTTCTTGTAATTTTGTCAATATTTGTAAAAAGATATCTGATCTTCAATATAATCAAGATTAAGAGAACTCATAGCTAGTGACTTCTCAGAAATTGTAGCTTGAAAACCATATTCTAGATAGTAAATTTGATTTGCAGCGACAAAATTGCTGTGGATATAATTAAAATTCCCATTTATACAGAAAATGTTTAAAAGAGCGGAAATAACCCTTGGAAAATCAAGGGATTATTTTTTGGATGTCTGTTTCTGCACTTATTACTTATTCATTCGATAACTGATTCACGATATTCTATTATTATCCTAAATGTTAGCTTTCGTTTGACCAATTAAAGGTAGAGACATCTATTGCTATTCAGAGAAATTTAGTTAATTGTCTATAAACCTATAAAAATTTACGGTGTATTATGATCCTCTATTTATGTAGTCGCTTTGATATATTTATATATTTTTATATAATAACTTTCTGAACAGTAAGTGGTCCTTGACCGGAATTTCTAATGTTCCGACTGGCGGTTTTGAAATAGGCTGATTTTACGTGAGTACTTGATTGTTAGCTCATTCAGTATGTACGTTAGTGGAATTATTGTGTTTATAGTAGGCAGAGAACACAATCAAAACAGTTTTTCCAGATATGTAGATAAGAAGCGAACCGAACACCACTCTCAAAGCTTCGTTAATTTAAAACGCATTATACTGATGATCTACGTCGCCAACTTTGTAACCGACACTGGACTTCTTTCTTCCCATCGGTAGTATTAGTTTCAGGTTATCCTGGCGACGACTATGTCGTCTACAAAACTTCAATTTGATCGCTGTGATTAAGAGCAACCAGCGAGTTTTCCAAAAAAAGACTTCAGGAGTTAGTACAGATGTAGGTGATTTTGTTGGTGTGGCTTTATGCTCTGTCTGGAAAACTATGAAAGAGATCAATGGGCTTATCAGATTCAAGCATTTTACTTCATCTATGCGAAAAGATGTTTGGTGAATGTTACACTATTATTTGACGGTTGTTTGATCTCCCAGTTTTAATTTACTGAACAGTTCAGATAGGAAGCCTAGGTTTCTGGTACATGTCAAAATAACAGTTGGTGAAGTCAGCTATTAGTTTCGACTATTATGTCCAGTATTTTGTTTTAATTGCCGAGCAGTGTCGAGAACCAGAGTATTTTATGTCTGTATGCTTCATTTACTGTCGACTCGTATTCATATATAAAACATAAATGTACACAATTATTTTACTGTATATGAGAAAACATTTTACAGTTGTCTGCACCTGATAAAATTTCCAAAGAATCAAATCCAAGGATTCTATCCCATAGTAAAAGTACTTGGTCAGGTGCCAAAAAACCACTGAATGCACGCACTAGCCATTTAAATATAAAACGG